ACATGGTGTACTTGCCTCAGTCCAAAGCACCAAGTGCGATTTGTGTCTCCCCTCAGCAGGGACTGACTGGATTTCGATCCATGTATTGGCACCTAAGTTGTACACAAGTCAGTCTATCTATTGACTGTGTTGATAGGGAATCGATTAATTTTCTTTCATTCCACCCACAGTGGAAAGAAAGAAAATGCCATCATATACGGTTTGTTTTATAGTCTCTGCTGGCAACAGACAATCTAGGGAAATGGCTCAGCCCCCCGTACAGCACACAGCAGTTGATGGACAGCCTCACCCTGCGCATGTTTCCCTAAGAGACTGTGCAGGGAGGGGGGGTGTCCATTCTTACACTCAGGTCTCAGATTACACTCAACTCCCTGTCCTATGCTGTGAAGTGTGTGTGACGCCAGATCCCGCCCCCTGCCTTCTGAAGCTCAGAAATGCTGTGTAAATTCTGGGCTTTGAATGGCTGTAGGCAGGGCTGCTGTTAGAAGCCACGGGGGCCCCATACAGCCAATATGACAGAGCCCCCCTCCCCAAACAAAACACAGTTTACTACGCTTCAGTTATGAATGAACACAGTGGGTGATCGGTACCCAGCACTCATTGTGTTCATTCAGGAAAAAAAGGGCCTGGGAAAATGTGGCATACAGTATTAACCAAAACCTTCCCCCGCTTTCCATCCTGAAGGATCCTATTGTGTGCTTGCAGCTGCCGACGGGAAAAAGAGGAGGGAAGCCGACAGCACGGCGGGGGGGGGGCACACAGGGGGGCTTGGTCAGCAGGGGAAAACCGTATTGTACATAGGGAGGGTGACTGGTGCAGTAAGGGGGCAATTACTGGAACCGATCCCCTGTTTGGGTCTCTGCAGCAGCTGAAAGCCATCAGAAGGGAGAGGAGAAGAAGCTGGCTTTCAGCTGCTCCAGAGAGAGCCATACAGGGGATCAGTTCCAGTAATTGACCCCCAACACCACCATTACCACCATTCTAATCACCCTTCCTGTCCATATCTGATTCACCCAGCTGCCTGGGCCCCCCTGCTGGCCTGGACCCTATACAGGAGGACTGGTGGTTTCCCCGTATCCACAGCCCTTACTGTAGAGGGGAAAGGCCTGCAGATAAACAGGTACAACTTACGTAGGAGGATTTGTTTCATCTGTGTGTATCACTTGAGGTCGGTACACTGGGTATATGAGAGGGTGTACAACCACTTTAAGGGAAAATTTAAAGAGTGCATGTGTCATCTGACCATTCAGGCAAATGTTACAGCGACTCCTGATTACTCCCCCCCCCCCCCCCAATCCACTCACTGCCCCCCTGCTGCAGGAGTCCACCCCTGGGGAAGCTTACCTAAATGGATAACATAATTGCCCCAGGCATGTGACAGTGTTCGGGCCTGATGATTGGCTGTTCAAACCAGAGCACTGTCTGATGGGGAGGCCACATGCTCCCCCATACCTAGAAACCCGGCTCCTTTGAAGCGGGGGCGCGGGGAAGCAGCGTGGGAATGCGGATGGGTGCATGTATATATATATATATCTGACAACGGTAATAGGGGCTCTTCTACCCAAAAGGTATTTATTATTTAACACGTAATAGATATTGTATATAAAACCTTCACTTAAATCAAGCTCTTACAGAAAGGATATTCTATCATGGCCGGATCTAGGGGGCTGCGCCCCCCCCCCAGATTTCACTTGCTCCCCCTCAGACTGGCCACCCCATGGACAATGGTCCTGGTTGCACAGCTCCTCTCCTCATCCCTGCACTCAGAGCCGGGAGAAGGGGAGGGCAGAATGCCGAAGGGAGCTAAAGTGTGAGAGAGAAGAGAGCAGGGAGGGTGTGCGGGCTGTGCTCTCCCTCCTCCTCTCCTACCAGGAGTCCTCCATGCAGCAGAGCACACAGAACCGCTAGATCGGACTGTACACACACTGTACCCCCCACCCTCATTTCCTGCTGCCGGGGGATGGGCAGTCCTTGGAGGACATGGGGAGGGGTGCAGCCCAATGTAAGAGTAAATCTGTGTAAGCTGCTGCATGGAGGAGCGGTGTTTTGACAAGGACAACACAGCACAGCACAGCCTGCACCTCCTCCCTGCTCTGTAAAGATTTCCCAGTAACAATCATTTGTGCTTGGGTTGGGATGAGAGGTTTGGGGATGAGGGGGGTGGGGGGCTATTTGTGCTGAGAAGGATAATTTGGGGAGGCATATTTTTGCTAGGAGGAATGGGGGGGGGGTATGTTTTAAGAGGAGAGATTGGGGGGATTTGTACTTGGAGGGGATGGGGAGATTTTGGTTAAGAGAGGGGGATCCCCCTATTGCCCCACTGACCCCTTTCCTCCATCCAACTGCTCCAATGACCCCTGTCCTCCATCCTACTGCCCCACTGACCCCCTGCCCTCTACCCAACTGCTCCACTGACCCCTGTCCTCCTCCCAACTGCCCCACTGACCCCTGTCCTCCACCCAACTGCCCCACTGACCCCCTGTCCTCCACCCAACTGCCCCACTGACCCCTGTCCTCCATCCAACTGCTCCACTGACCCCTGTCCTCCATCCTACTGCCCCACTGACCCTGTCCTCCACCCAACTGCCCCACTGACCCCTGTCCTCCATCCAACTGCTCCACTGACCCCTGTCCTCCACCCAACTGCCCCACTGACCCCTGTCCTCCATCCAACTGCTCCACTGACCCCTGTCCTCCACCCAACTGCCCCATTGACCCCTGTCCTCCACCCAACTGCCCCATTGACCCCTGTCCTCCACCCAACTGCTCCACTGACCCGTCCTCCATCCTACTGCCCCACTGACCCCTGTCCTCCACCCAACTGCCCCACTGACCCCTGTCCTCCATCCAACTGCTCCACTGACCCCTGTCCTCCACCCAACTGCCCCACTGACCCCAGTCCTCCACCCAACTGCCCCACTGACCCCCTGTCCTCCACCCAACTGCCCCACGTCCTCCATCCAACTGCTCCACTGACCCCTGTCCTCCACCCAACTGCCCCACTGACCCCCTGTCCTCCACCCAACTGCCCCACTGACCCCTGTCCTCCATCCAACTGCTCCACTGACCCCTGTCCTCCATCCTACTGCCCCACTGACCCCTGTCCTCCACCCAACTGCCCCACTGACCCCTGTCCTCCACCCAACTGCCCCACTGACCCCTGTCCTCCATCCAACTGCTCCACTGACCCCTGTCCTCCACCCAACTGCCCCACTGACCCCTGTCCTCCATCCAACTGCTCCACTGACCCCTGTCCTCCACCCAACTGCCCCACTGACCCCTGTCCTCCACCCAACTGCCCCATTGACCCCTGTCCTCCACCCAACTGCTCCACTGACCCGTCCTCCATCCTACTGCCCCACTGACCCCCTGTCCTCCACCCAACTGCCCCACTGACCCCTGTCCTCCATCCAACTGCTCCACTGACCCCTGTCCTCCACCCAACTGCCCCACTGACCCCAGTCCTCCACCCAACTGCCCCACTGACCCCCTGTCCTCCACCCAACTGCCCCACTGACCCCTGTCCTCCATCCAACTGCTCCACTGACCCCTGTCCTCCATCCTACTGCCTCACTGGCCCCCTGTCCTCTACCCAACTGCCCCACTGACCCCCTGTCCTCCACCCAACTGCCCACTGACCCCTGTCCTTCATCCTACTGCCCCACTGACCCATGTCCTCCATTCTACTGCCCCACTGACCCCTGTCCTCCATCCTATTGCCCCACTCACACCTGTCCTTGATCCTACTGCCCCACTGACCTCTGTCCTCCATCCTACTGCCTCACTCACCTCTGTCCTCCGTCCTACTGCCCCACTGACCACTGTCCTCCATCCTACTGCCCCACTCACCTCTCTCCTCCATCCTACTGCCCCACTGACCACTGTCCTCCATCCTACTGCCCCACTGACCCCTGTCCTCCATCCTGCTGGCCCCATGTTCTCTGTCCTACTGTCTCCTATACACTACCCTGCTGACTTTGCAGCTTCTGCCCCCTGACATTTTTTACTGCACCCCCACATCAGACAGGCTAGATCCAGCCCCTTATTCTGTAGTGCCAAATTTAAATCTGCCCTCCAGGTAGGATGTGTATTGTATAGTTCTATCGGTCCAGCTTGGCACGATGTAAGTCTGTATATCTCATACCTGATGGGGCCACTAAGGAAGCCGACAATCACTGCAGTAGTTGTCACAGGACTCCGCAGTAGTAGTGCCGACTACTACAGTGATCGTCAGCTTCCCAATGGACGACCATGCATGAGATATGCATACTGACACTGTGCCAAGCTGAACCGATGCAAACATGCAATATGAAAAAAAAAATCTGCATTGCACAGCTGTCACAAATATTCGCCATAATTTGTGATCATCAGCTCCATCTAGTGGCCATAACACGGTATTTTCCTGAAATACCCCAGTGAAGAAAATACTGACTTATGGCCACTAGATGGGGCTGGTGATGACCTGTTCACTGTAATCGGTGTATAACAACAGTTATCGGGAATGGCTCCCTGGCAGGTCGCTAACTAGAGTTCCACAAACACGCACACACACATACCAACACGCACACGCACGCACACACCAACACGCACGCACACACATACGATGAATGACACATGCACATGACAGTGTAGAATGGGAAAGCAAGAAAAACAAAGAAATGCAAGGTGTGAGTGTGCACAGGTTTGATGAATGCGGGTATTAAAGCGGAACTCCAGCCGTGCTTTTCAGGTTTGGATAGAGTGGGGCTTTTTTTTTTCTTTTGTTTCCTCTGTCCCTGTTGGGGAGATTTCTCCTTACTTCCTGCACCGGTGTCACAACAGGAAGTACCAGAAGTCCCTTCACCTCCTGCCAATGCAGCAGGAAACAAAAAAACAACAACAAAAAAACCCACAGGGGATTTAACCCTTCCCCCGCTCTTTCCAAACTTTTTTGTTAAAAATAAAAATTGGCCGGAGTTTCACTTTAAGATCCCGCAATGGTTTCGCAGTGAGCTAAATACCTTTTAGACTTTGAAATTCCCGTTCTAGCTTTTTCCTTAAATCCATCTGCTCCATTAAAAGCTTCTGCAGCTCATCTGTGGAAAAGAATCCGTCAGTGAGGAAGTTTTCCATATATACACATGCACTCCCTGAAATCATCAACCTGAAGTGTCAGCTCTGCGGTACAGGTGGGTGGGGCCTGCTCCATATGGCGGTGCACCATGCCGAAGGGTCATAACTAGGGATGCACCAATATATACCGGCGACCAGAATGCATCGCCCGAAAATACATTCGCATTTTGCCGATAGTAAAAAAAAAGGTTCCGATAATGGCCGCCAAAAACACTCCCTGAAATCATCAACCTGAAGTGTCAGCTCTGCGGCACAGGTGGGTGGGGCCTGCTCTATATGGCGTTGCACCATACCGAAGGATCATAACTAGGGATGCACCGATATATATCGGTGGCCGGAATGCATCGCCCGAAAATACATTCGCATTTTGCCGATAGTAAAAAAAGGTGCTGATAATGGCCGCCAAAAACACTCCCTGAAATCATCAACCTGAAGTGTCAGCTCTGCCGTGCAGGTGGGTGGGGCCTGATCCATATGGCGGTGCACCATGTCGAAGGGTCATAACTAGGGATGCACCAATATACCGCGCGGCCGGAATGCATTGCCTGAAAATACATTCGCATTTTGTCGATAGGAAAAAAACATGCCGATCATGGCCACCGAAAAAGTGTGATTTTGCTACAAGACCCCAGTTTTGCCACAATTTTATGTGGGATTGTGCAGCGATTTTACGTTTAGGGTGCGTTTTTTCATAGGTCACGTGACTGAAAAAAAAAAACCACGTTTTTTTTTTGGGTCTTCAACGCATTTCAGGCCTGTAGTTTACGTTTTGTCCTTTTTGCATTGCATTTTGCGTTTTGGGCTGGGGGGGGGGGTTTGGGGCCAACTTGTTGATGGGCAGATTAAAAATGCAACAAGTGTGTGTTTTTGATGGGTTTTCAACGCATTTCAGGCCTGCAGTTTACGTTTTGTCCGTTTTGCAGTGCTTTTTGCATTGCGCTTTGCGTTTGTGGGGGGTTTGAGGCCACCTTGTTGATGGGCAGATTAAAAATGCAACACGTGTGCGTTTTTGATGAGTTTTCAATGCCTTTCAGGCCTGGTTCACACCAATGCAGTTTGCGTTTTCTCCCACTTTGCAGTGCTTTTTTCATGGCGTTTTGGCATACGCATTTTTGACGTGCTTTTTGATAAGATTTGCATTTTTAAATGTTTTTTTGCCAGCTTGTTGCTGGGGGCAGATTAAAAACGTGCAACGCATCAAAAACGCAACACGTGTATTTTGATGGGTTTTCAAAGCATATCAGGCCTGGTTCAAAGCAAAGCAGTTTACATTTTGTCCGTTTTGCAGTGCTTTTTGCATTGCGTTTTGCATGCACATTTTTGACAAGCTTTTTGATGCGCTTTGCGTTTTTTTTTTTAAAATGTTTTTCTGTTTGTTGCCAAATTGTTGCTGGGCAGATTAAATACACCAAATGCATCAAAAATGCAAGACATGTTGAATTTTTGATGCGTTTGCAATCAGGGGTGGACTGACAACTCATGGGGCCCCCAGGCAATAGGGGATCATGGGGCCCCTGTGTCCTCGCCCACACTCTAAGCACACCCAAAAAAGCCTATAAAAGGTACCAGGGGCATCTCATGGGGCCCCCTACTGACCCCGGGCCCTCGGGCAGTGCTCGAGTGCTCAACTGGTCAGTCCGCCCGTTTGCAATGCATTTCAGGCCTGGCTTACACCAATGCAGTTTGCGTTTTGTCCGTTTTGCGGTGCTTTTTGCAGTTCATTTTGTGTTTTTAGACGCACAGTTTTGATGCGATTCTTGATGCATTTTGTGTTTTTGAATGTTTTTTGTTTTGGCCAAGTTGCTGCTAGCCAGATTAAACATGCAAAATGTATCAAAACTGCGGCAAATGCGTGAAAACGCATTAAAAACGCATCAAAAACGCATTACATGTTTTCCTTCGAAGTCTATTGAACCAAAAAAGCAATGTGTTGCATTCAAAGCGGAGTTCCACCAAAAAGTGGAAGCTCCCCTTGGTTGCCTCCTCCCTCCCCCCACTGCCATATTTGACACTTTTGGGGGGGGGGGGGGAGTGGGCAGCAGATACTTGGTTTTGACAAGTACCGGCTCCCACGTGAGCTGGGAGTTTGCCCCCCCCCCCCCCCATTCCTCATTCACACAGGTCCCAGAAGACTGCTGGACCAATCGGAATGCGCAGCGCGACTTGCACATGCCCAGTGGGCACCCAGCTGTGAAGCTGCACGCTGTCACAGCCGGGTGCCCACAGTTAAGATGCCGGCACCGAGAAGAGAAGAGGCAGAGAAGGGACGGCACAGGTGAGCACATCGCTGAATCCTGGGACAGGTGAGTGTGCGTTTATTAAAATATTACAAGTCAGCAAATACAGGTTTTGTAGCTGCTGACTTTTACCCCCCCCCCCCCCCCAGTCACATCAAGCCTGACTTTGAAATTGTGCGACTAATGGGGATCATAGACGGGTCGAAAATCGGCCGGTTTTTTTGGGCAAAAAAAAATTGGCCGATTTTTGCACCGTTAGTGGGTTAATTGGTCGGCCATTTTTTCGGGCTTTTTGCACTTTTTTTATTGGGCATGTTGGAAAATTAGCGGCTGATTTTGACGATCGGCCGATTTTCCTGGCAATGATGGGCAAAAGCGGTAATTCCTCACACCGCCCACGCGATCGTTTTACCGATAAAAAATCTGCGCATGAGCCGCGACTTGCAAGAGGAAGAAAAAGAAGAAGAAGAAGAAAAAGAGAAAGAAGAATTCCAGTCCGCTATTATATTTCATATGAAAAGTCTTGCAGTTGCAACAAATGTATCCATTTGTATCCGAATAAAAACATCTGTAACTGAAATGGATACAAATGGATACATTGTTGCAACCGCAAGACTTTCATGTCAAATATAATAGCGGAGCTCTCTGCAGGGACAGAAGTAATTATGGGGTTAAATGCCGGCCGTAGACGGGACAAAAAATCCACCGATTTTTTTTACCGAACGTGATTGAACGACCGATTTTTCGTTTTTGTTTTAAAACGGCCGGTTTCGACCCGTCTATGGCCTGCATAACAGTGAAGTCGAACGATTTCAAAGTCGGATGACATGCCGACTTCAGGTATGATTTGCAAGATATCTGACACAGATGTCTATGCAAATCGCACCACAAGTAGCGCATGGACTACTTTAGAGATATGACCGCTCTAATTGCAGACAATAGGGCGCGACTTGGCTTGCGATTTGCAAGTTGCATGGCATGAAAATCGCATGTCCATTCACATCCAGTGTGACCGGGGTGTTAATAAACACTAAGGCTAGGTTCACACCTATGCAGGTTGCGTTTGAGCCGTTTCTGCATTGTGTTTTGTGTTGCATTTCTGCATTTGTGAGGCGTTTTGCGAGGGGAAGGGTCATTTTTTTTATTTTTCTTGTTGCTGCTAGGCAGATTTAAAACAAAAAATGCAGCAAAAATGCACTGCATGCTTTTCCGCAGTGTTTCCATTGAAGTCTATAGAACCAAAAAGTTCCAAAAGGTCCCTGACCCCCAGGGGCGGACTGACAACCTCGGGAACCCTGGGCAATAGGGGATCATGGGGCCCCTGTGTCCTTGCCCAAACTCAAAAAAGCCTATGAAAAAGGTACCGGGGGCATCTAATGGGGCCCCCTACTGACCCCGGGCCCTCGGGCAGTGCCCGAGTTTCCAAATGGTCAGTCCACCTCTGCCTGACCCGTTCCAAAAAACGCAGCTGGTGAAAACGCGGAGATGTGAACGTGTCCCATAGGAAGTCATGTTCAATGGACAGTACTGCGTTTCTGCAAAATGCTGCGGAAAACGCTTTGGTGTGAATCCGGGTAAAATGACTTCAAAAAGGCCCTTTCCAAAAACTCAAACCACACCCAAAAAAGCCAATGAAAGGTACCAGTGGGCATCTCATGGGGCCCCCTACTGACCCCGGGCCCACAGGCATTGCCCGAGTTCTTAAATGGTCAGTCCGCCCCTGCGTCCAATAGGAAACCATGCTAAATAGACTGTAGTGCGTTTCTGTCAAAAGCCCTAAAAAAAAGCATTGGTGTGAACCAGGCCTCAATGGGGGAGGTGCATTTTTGGTGATTTTTTTTTTTTAACTGGCCAAATATGCACCAAAAATGCGACAAGCAAGATTTTTAACACCGCAAAGGGAAGCGCAACGGACCCGTGTGAAGACGTACATTGAATTTAAAGGGACGCATTTCTCTTGCGCCTTTTGTTTTTACCGCTCAGCGTGAAAGGGGCTGAAAATAAATTCATACTTGTTTAAATTCAGAATATTCATTAAAAAGTTGAATAAAATACAATGATATATAAAAAAATATTTAATAGAAAAAAAACAACTGTCCGTTTGGATTTCAGTTGTTCGGCCAAATGCATGCAGAATTTTCGTTTGCGGTCCAAAAATTTTCATTTCGGTGCGTCGCTAACTCATGACCCTCAACAACGTCCAAGAGATAGACTTCGTGACAGATAAAATCTGATTGGTTGCTGTGAGTTATGACACGCCCCTGGATCATCATCATTGCTCTACAAATACTTTACTGGAATTGCCTGTTACAGTTACAGCAAACACGGGAGCAGAGGCAGACTGACAACTCATGGGGCCCCTGGGCAAAAGGGAAACATGGGGCCCCTGTGTCCTCGCCCACACTCAAACCACACCCAAAAAAGCCTATGAAAGGTACCCGGGCATCTCATGGGGCCCCCTACTGACCCTGGGCCCTCGGGTAGTGCTCAAGTTCCCAAATGGTCAGTCCACCCCTGCACGGGAGCCATTTACCCATCTCAGTGTCTACAGATTTTTTTTTTTTTTTTTTAAACTTTACTGAACTGTCACCAAATAACACTTTAAATTTTTTGACACCCACATATGGGTACTCCGCACACTGGGCGCCCGAGGTTCCTGTGCTGGCTGCGCGCTGTCAGCACAGTGACCGAGCTATCGAAGGCAGCTCCTGGAGCTGTTGGGTCTA